AATATTATTAAGTCCAATACTTTTATTTTCATTTAGAATAACATAAACATGCACCAATAAATTGTGCAAAGACAAAACCAGTAAAAACCATAATAAAATCAGTAAATACTACATATTCAAAGTAGTGCTGTCAAAATTAATGCGTTAACGCAGGTGATTAATTTTTCCAGTTTAACGGTGTAAAAAAATATTTAATGCAGTTAACGCAGGGACGGGACTCACAACTGCTGCTTCTGCCTTTTTTTTTCTTGACAAGTATTGTGTTTATTTAGATGCAGAATGCCTTTATGACCACATCTGTGTACGGGAGACTTTTCAGATGCACATGCCAACTCTGACTCAGCACCAGGCGCTAGTCAGATGAGTGCGGAAAAGGTACAGGTGACGAGCGAGCACCAGTAGAACAACAGTGAACTGTGGTCAGATGAGATGATGTCAGGGCATATGCCAGTAAAAACGAATCTTCTTGTCCTGTTAGCCGTTACACTGTGCTCGTAGCGTGTGCTCTTCAATTGCACGCACAAAAAACGACGGAGTGCGCTGTATACTGTATCACTTCATATTAAAGCACGAATTAAACTATGAGCATGCGTGTCAGATTCATGTCACGTTCAGCAGTGGCAGCTCTTAAAGTAATAGCAGCCAAATAACATAACCCCGCTGCTGTGAAGTCTGATAATAAAAGAACAAAAGAAAAAAAGAAGAAAAAAAAAAAAAAGAGGAAATCAATAACTTATCATAGCTTTATGGATTCATATATTTAATTTAGAATTTAGTGTTTGATAACTTTATTAAATTTTTGTATATTTCCTACTTGCTGAAGGGCACAGGTATGACATGTATTATAATGGGTTTATGTGAAGATTGTTTTAAGTTCACTTAAATTAGAAGTTGTTGTTTTTAAAATTCTAATAAAGATTCAAATTGATAGGTTAGCTCTCAATTAGCCTATACTGTAATGTTAGCATAGTCAACATTACATATAGTCGATGGTTAAACGAAAGGGGGAAAAACATTCCTAGAGACATCAGTAGTATTGGTATCAGTGATGCTGGCCTTCAGTCATAAAAAAGATGCCATTAAACAAATATTAAAAATATACTGTATGTTGTTTCTACATTAATTTAAAGATTGAATTTGAAATTGCAATAAAAGTATATTTTAAATCTTTAATGATAGGTGGGATTAATCACAATTAATCATGATTAATTTCAGAAAAAATGTGAAATTAGTTGTTTTTTTTAATCGACCGACAGCACTAATTCAAAATTAAATATTTATATCCCATTATTTAGAAATTTCTTTGAAATTGAGAGATGCGTCTCTCTTTTTTTCTTTTTTGTCCACACAATGAAAGTTGACGGTCACCAAAATTTCACAAATATTCTTCAAAATATCTCCTTTTGTGTTCCACAGAAAAAGTAGTAAAAATATACTGTATGTTGTTTCTACATTAATTTAAAGATTGAATTTGAAATTATTGCAATAAAAGTATATTTTAAATCTTTAATGATAGGTGGGATTAATCACAATTAATCATGATTAATTTCAGAAAAAATGTGAAATTAGTTGTTTTTTTAATCGACCGACAGCACTAATTCAAAATTAAATATTTATATCCCATTATTTAGAAATTTCTTTGAAATTGAGAGATGCGTCTCTCTTTTTTCTTTATTGTCCACACAATGAAAGTTGACGGTCACCAAAATTTCACAAATATTCTTCAAAATATCTCCTTTTGTGTTCCACAGAAAAAGTAATATAGTCATAACTCTGAAAGCATCTTAAATGAGCAACTTAATGAGAAATATTTGTAATACTGTAACTTTCAAATCTCAGTGCCCTCCCAGTACAAAACCACAATTTATTGAACCCAAGCTGCAATAAGAATCTAGCATTAACAAAGTGTGTCTAACTCTTTTGTTAATTCTACAAAATATGGCCCATTTATTTGTTTAATTCTAAGGGTTTAAAATCAAAAATCAAATAAACTGTCATAAACGTGTCAAAATTGTGTCGCAAAAAACTGATTGTAATTGGTATAATTTAAATAAAAGTACAATGATATGATGCCTTTAAAGAGCAAAGTTGCTGTCACCTGTTGAGTGCAGCACATGGCACAGTCCCAGAATGATTGTTTTCACAACATCCCGCCACAAAAAAACTGAGGTCCCATATACTTTAATGCTGTTAATACAGAGCATCGAATAACTAGCTGACAAAGCCCTTTGCTGAAACAACAGCGGATCCAGCTTTACTTTCACTACAAACATTGAGAGCTACTTTCCTTTACTGATGGCTGTTATCACTCTAGAGACTGCACTACATCACGTACCAGTTGCCACGTCCATATTACAGCCACTGTAAAGGAGGAAACATTACCCCAGGGTAGGGCTGATTGTCATGCACATCTCGTCAGTAAAGCCGGTTCCGTGATTGGTAGTAAATCTCCATCACCTGCTTTCAGATGGAGCAGCATTTAATACACAAATGGCATGCGATTAATTGCACAGCCCTACTCCAGGGAACAAGAGTAGTGATCAACTTTCACAGTCCAGTTATAACAGAGAATAAAACTTTAATGCATATGATGCAAATTGCAATCAAGGTGTTTCAAGTCAGTCACAGTAAAAAAAATGAAATAAATGAAATGCTCAAACTGCCCAAAAAGTAAAAGAAACATATATTTTAAATATACACCTAGGATGCCTCGAGGGTGAGTAAAACACAGGCTAATTTTCATTTTTGGGTGAACTAACCCTTTATTAACCCTGGCATTAATAATATGGTAAATGTGATATACTCATTATAAAATTACATTGCAAATTTTCTACAAAATTCTGGAAACTAACACCACAAAAACCGTCATTTGAATTGCAAAGATATCCTGGTGGGACTCCTAACTGATCAAACAGATTTGCACAAATGTCTGAAAATGTTTGTGATTTCGTTTGATTCATTCGGACGGTTCACTCACGCACTGAATTGTTTGTAGTGATTTCTCACACTGAAATAGTAACAGGATACTTTATAAGACGCAAAACCAAGAGCACTGGATTAGATTGATATAGACCTTAGCCAGGTTAGACGGCATATTGAATTTAACGCAGATGAAAATGAGGCTGTGAAGGATAGACTTACAGTCTTAACAATGACAGGCACTGTACATATTCACTGTGCATTTTATAACTGCAGCTTGTGTACTGCAGTTAAAGACAATGCACATACTTATATCCATAAGTGTATCAAAAAAAAAAAAGGTATTAGGCTGATGATACACGGGGCAACTTTTTGAGCAATTTTGCCAGGCAACTTTTTTTTTGAGCAGTGTTGCTTGGGCACTTTCCCATTAAGAATTGGTAACAAATTTCTATCTGGATATTTTAGATTGGTTGTGGGCGCTGTGTCTCACCTGGGGGGCTATTTCATAAAACAAGTTTACCAAACAAGCCAGGCTTATTTCAGTTAGTCTGACTTATTTTGAACCAAATCAACTGACAATAAGTCAGACTAACTAAAATAAACCTGTCTTATTTGGTAAACTTGTTTTATGGAACAAGCCCCTGGTTGTCTGTTGACGGCACCATTGCTCAAAATGTTGCCCCGTGTATCATCAGCCTTATGCCGAGTTCACACTGCACGATTTTCAAAGACGTCGCATCACTGTTGGTTTCACACTGAACGACTATCTGGGGTAGCATTCAGTTGTTGCGGTGTTCACACTGCACGATGGAACGACGACAGGAGGTTACACACTGCATGACTTTACAATTGGAACAATCGCCGACAGCTCTGTCTGGTGCAGGGTTGCCAGGTTTTCGCTACAAAACCCGCCCAGTTACGTCTGACTTATTTTGAACCAAATCAACTGACAATAAGTCAGACTAACTAAAATAAACCTGTCTTATTTGGTAAACTTGTTTTATGGAACAAGCCCCTGGTTGTCTGTTGACGGCACCATTGCTCAAAATGTTGCCCCGTGTATCATCAGCCTTATGCCGAGTTCACACTGCACGATTTTCAAAGACGTCGCATCACTGTTGGTTTCACACTGAACGACTATCTGGGGTAGCATTCAGTTGTTGCGGTGTTCACACTGCACGATGGAACGACGACAGGAGGTTACACACTGCATGACTTTACCAATTGCGGATTTGGCAACACAGGTCCGCAAACTGTGTTTCATATAACTCCTCTCCGAACTTCCCGCTGCCCTGTATCTTGGTCTCTCATTGGCTGTAGGTCATCGCCGATGTGTTTTTCAGTCAGAACTCATTTCACACAGAGTGATTGTGAATCGCCGACAGCTCCAGATATTTAGCATGCCAAATAGAGGCGATTCCCTCAGATCGCATCTTTGATAATTCACACTGCGTGATTGTCACTCGCGTGAACGAGCACCGATTTGCCTCCGATTTCGGCCATTTGTCGGCGATTTCGCAAAACCTGTCGGCGAGTGAAAATCGGGCTAAAATCGTGCAGTGTGAACTCAGCATTAGGCTATATGGGGATGCTTTTTTGATGGGGTGCCTGTGAAACTATGCCCCTATTTTCAAGCTGAAATTTTAAAAAGAACTACATTTGAAAGCTGAACCATTTTTCAATTGGAATTACAAAAACAACAATTGTTCCCAAACAGGTTTCCAAAGCACTCCCCATCCGCCTCCCTACCTGCCATTGGTTTGACAAACTGATAACCCCGCCCCCAAAACCACGCCATTGGTTGAGATAATGTTGATACGCTGGCGATGAAAGAGGAAAATGTTTACACACTTCAGCTGGATGTGTCACTGGAAATATAAAAGAAGGTGTCTTAAAAATATGAAAGAGGCAGAAGTGCTGCATCTTGGCTTGCTGCAAAATACACCTGTGGCATCTGAGCTGCGTCTAAACTCACGACTGCCATCATACAGTAATGAATGAAACAATATTGCAGGCAACTTTGGATTGGTTATGACGGCAGCGAATGCATTTCACCCGTGCTACGGGGTTGTTCTTACCTTACACGGAAACGGCAGATTAGATGCAACTTTTTCCATTGCCAAGTTCCTTATGCTCGGCGTGAGAGGGCCGCGACAAGTTGGACAGCAGCTGAGCTTTTGCCGACACTGGTTACACACCAGATGCCCAGCCTGGCACTGCAAGATCGGGGGCAGCACGTAGTCGAAACACACCGGGCACTCAAACAGCGCTGTCAATTCGGCTGACTGTCCCGGTAGGGCAGCGACTGGAAGGGCTACAGCGGCCGCGGGGACCGTACCAGAGCCCGCGACAGAGCCGGATACCCCCGCGGCGGCTGCGGCAGCAGAGGCGGTTGTTCCTCCAGAGCCTCCATGCTTACTTCCTCCTGCTTTACCAGCTCCGAGTCCTCCGGCCGCACCACCCGCAGAGGACGGACGGCTCATGGCGAGGAGTGTAGATCTCTAACGGTGTAAAACCCAGACGAGTTCAAACCCGAGAGCCCCACCGTATACTCCCGACTGAAGACAGACTCGGTTCCGAACAGCCTCCAGTCCCCGCGGATACAACATGGCCGCCATAGTTTGAGAGCGAGTAACGAGTCTATTGGATGAAGGGGCTTTGATTGACACTCTCCTCAGCCAATCACAGAGCCGCTCTTGACGTTTACGTAAGAGTCGCTGGAATATGTAGTAATTACGTGAGTGGCTGTAGTGAAGTAAACAGCAAACAGTTGCACTGTGGCCCTTCAACACGACCAAGGATGTTTCACCGTTCTATGCAATCAGAGGAGACTGTTGCATTTATAAGCCTCAAACCATTTTTTTTACTAAACTGAATGAGTTATGTGGATTAGGTCTAAATAAAGTTTTTACAGGGCTATTAAGTGGAACGAGACACAAAAGGAACAAATGAATAACATTATATTATCCTGGTTATATTTCATACCTCTAATAAACCCCCTCTATTCTGGTTCAGTGAATTCTTTTTTCACTTCATGCTTGGGATGCACAGAAGAAAAGTATGCGCAAACAAAATGGATAAACTACATTACAATTAGCTGTTTTCGCAGTCTTTTCATACATTCTTAAACTTGATACATTTACATTTTGAACTACACATTTCTGGAATACTGTAATATATGTACATCTGATGTTATTTGTTCTCTGTAAATAAGAGAATATACAAGTGTATTGCTTCCACCATGCTCTACCATTTGAGCTACATATACACCTTTGTTAACTTGCTATAATGTACACTTAACCATTTAACAATTTTTATTTCAGAAACTGTAAATCTCATTTGCTGTGTCTAAATCATACATCTATATATTCTCCATACATCATCAGGACTGATCATTGACTATTACCATATCAGATGACCAGAAGCATGGACATGCAAGAAGAGTGTCTAAATACTCTATTTAATATAGTTTTCATAACGGCATTATAGTAGTATTAATATTTAAGTAGTATCAATATTTATTCCTGGAGTAAAAGCACACTGCTCTCTCCCTGTCTAACCAGCTCCCTCTGCTGGCATTTCATGCATTTATTAAAAAATTGACTATATATAATTACATTTGATTTATACCTAATAATATTTTCAAATAATGAAGGAATTTATGAAATATCTGAATAACTGTCCTTAAAAGGATTTCCTTCTACCTAAATAAAAAATAAATAAAGATTTTTTTTAAACAACTACATTTGTTCTATGTAAATACATGAGATACATGAGCTTGTGAATCAACAACCAAACACACAATTTATTAATTGATTTTATTTTTTGTACTTCCAAAAATGAACAATAACTGGTAATTGGCTGTTATTGTGTAAGAATCTAAACAAGACAAAACTACTGAAAGGCAAATTCATAGTTATCGATTGCTTATTTACAGAATCACTTCCATACTAGTAAGAAACCACAGCAAGTCATAAAGCATCATAGTCATCCTCATCTTCATGCTTCCTCTTAAGAGAGGTTGAGTCACTGGATGGATTCTGTGACACCATATTGGTAGTAATGAGGATGTTCTTGGAGCCAATGAGAGAGGGGTTGATGAGGACATTTTGAACAGTGGGAGTGGTAGGAGTAGCTGTGAAAACAAATTAAATCATTAACTGAATGAGGTTACTGCTATGATTCAGCACGTGATCTTAAATCTGGCATGTTTTTATTTCTCGAAGCTCAATCAATAGCTTAACTTTTCATCTGCTCACTGATTTGCCACAAAATGTTCCATATGGTCCTCAATACAAAAGAAGACCACACAAGAAGAACTACTTATTCTAAGGTAGAAACGTACCTGATTTGACAGAGGCAGCCTGTGAGGAGGGAATCTGAACTGTAAAGCGCTGGCCGGTCAGTGACACAGGCGTCCCCACTTTAGTTCCCACTGTCTGCACTGATGGCGTACCTGCAGTAAATACAATGATGATCCTTTAAACCTTTAGATTTTGCACTTGTTCACCAGGGAGGGAGAGAGAGAGAAAAAAACAAAACTAAATGCTCCTCTTGTAATAATGGAGATTAGTGAATGTATATTGGAAATTGTGTGCATGCAAACTCTTGCAATCTTTGAGTACACTTGTAACTGACCAAGAGTTGGAGTGCTTGGCCTACTGGACACTGCCCCCACACTTAACCGTGGCACTGTTATCCTGCCCGCAGACGAAGACACCTAAACATTCAAATCAAATCCATATCAGACTGTACATTCTGCCATACATTTTAATATACATCTGTTTGTATCCTTTGAAGAACCCACATTCTCACAGTCTAGACAAACCTGGATATGGAGATGAGAATACTGAATTTCAAAAGTTTCTATCAAGCTTAATATAGTTAAGTGAAACTAAAACAATAAAAAAAAAAAGTATTACTTGAAATAAATATTAGATATTAAATATTAAATATACAAAAACTACACAGATATCAGCAAACAAATAAAGTGACAAAATATAACTAAAATGTTAACATGAAAATAAATAATATAAAAATCTAATTCAAAATATTAATACACTATAATAGCATCTCAATGATACTAAAATAACAAGTTTCTATACCACAAAAGGTCAAGGAAATTAATAAAACAACATGCATATTTCTAAGGAATATACATTTGTTCTGCCAAGCACTATATTTTATCAGGAAGAAACTATGTAACATACACACACACACACACATATACAGTGGGTACGGATGTACATTAATGAGGAAAAAAAAATTTACTTCAATGATTTTAGCAAATGGCTGCAATATAACAGTGAAAAATTTAAGGGGGTTTGAATACTTTCCGTACCCACTGTATATATATATGACCCTGGACCACAAAACCAGTCTTAAGTCGCTGGGGTATATTTGTAGCAATAGCCAAAAATACATTGCACGGGGTCAAAATTATTGATTTTTCTTTTATGCCAAAAATATATACACATCAACACAATCACGAAATTCACATGAGGGGGGAGGAATTCCAATACAGATTTTGCAACGCATTCAAGATCATGTGAATTCGCTGTGTTGATCAACAGAAAGTTAATAGATTTTTAAAAAAGTTACTCTGTCTGAGCTGTGCTTTACACAAAAGATTCATATACGACTATAGACAATTGACCTTTTTGCTCACAAAATTAGCATGTGTGACCACACTTTAGCCTGAATCACAAATGACTGGAAGAGTCATATGAACTCATTGGTAAAAAGAGTAGGATCCACTTGAGAACCATTGCGCTACAGGTACAATAACAGCAGTAATACACCACAAGACCTTGTTATCAGGTATCACTAGGTCAGTTAATCTAAACTACAAAAACGGTATATTATCACATATTATTTAAAATAATACCTTTTTCTGCAAGCACTTCAGTCTGTAGTTTGGTGCTGTGAGACAGTAGCGATCTGGTGGAAGACGTGGGCCTGTGTATGGTTTGATCAGTGGCAAAGGAGTTTGGTTCTTCTGCCTTGCAATGTCCAACAGAAACTGAAACCATGGACCAACCACCACTATTAATTATCAGAAGTCACATATGTGTTATGCATTAAAAAAAAAACACATAAGTCAACAAGAACAACTTACATCTCGTGGTGGAGGAGATGTGAATGACTGATCCACTCGACACTGGATTGCTAGCCTTATATCATCTGCATCCACATTGGACTTCTTGGCATGGGTGGAATATATTTTTGCATCTTCAATAATAGTTGTTACGTATCCTGAAAAACAAAACAAAAAAAACATCAGACAGTGAATGCTTTTGGACGACTTGCTACTACAGAAAAGTAACAGATGGAGTTTGTTAAAGCATTTTATATGGGGGTAGAATTGTTGCTTAATTCCAAATAAATAGATTATGATCCACAAATAAATAGAATGAGATCCACAAATAAATCTTAAAGTTTCACAAACATGAATTAAATTCGCAAATAAATAAAATGAGATTTGCAAATAAAAAACATATTCACAAATATATATTTATGTCAAACATGTTAGAGGTTTAAAGTCATCTTGACTTACTGTATGTAAACTCCAGCATCTGATTGATCACTCTGGGCTCGTACTCCGTGATACCCATGCCCTTAAGAACCTGCATCATAACCTTTGAAGATAATAAAATAAAGTTAAAAAACTGCACAAGGAAAATATCATGCATATTATATTAGCTGCACCCCAGCATATTTATCAGCAATTATCTTAGCTTAGCTAATATATTTAGTTAAAATCACACCACATTAAAAATCTATTACAGTGGACCTGTTAACGTTAGCGTGGTAACGCGTGTGTGCACAAAGAAGAATAAGACGAGTAATATGCACAGTCGCTCTTTAAACCTGCTGCTTTATTCGCTATGCTTTAAACACAATAAACATTGCACAACACGGAGATAAAACAGTTTCTAAAGCATTATTTACCTGTGCATCTTTAGGCACTGTTTTCGGAGACGCCATTTTCACATGAGCTCTGAATTCTCTTCTTCTGATGTTTTTTTGGCGGTTTTGGCAAACCAACTTAAAGGTGCATTACCGCCACCTACTGATCTGGAGTGTGGAGTGAACAGATTTGGTAGAAAGAAGGATATACAGGTGCATCTCAATAAATTAGAATGTCAGAAAGCATTTTGGCAAAGTAGGCGGTACCGAAGCAGAGCAGCCAATCTGGACGAAGAAACCTTGAGTGGCAGCCAATCACAGAGGGATAATCAAACACTCAGCAAACGTCACGCACCAAGTAAATCGAGCAGCCAATCAGCAGCGGCCTAGACATTAAATAGGCCCAAAATGTAAGCACGTACATGGGGCAAGTTCAAGTTCAAACCGGTGCGCAACGTTTTGCTACAGTTTCGACAGCTGTCCTTTTTTACGGCATGTTTCCTGAAAACGGTGTGCAACGGGGTTTGAGATACGTTTTCTCTTGTTTGGTGGGTTTGTCAAACATGTCAGCACCAATCAGCAGCAGCGTGTATAAAAACCAGAAGCAGAGCAGCCAATCTGGACGAAGAAACCTTGAGTGGCAGCCAATCACAGAGGGATAATCAAACACTCAGCAAACGTCACGCACCAAGTAAATCGAGCAGCCAATCAGCAGCGGCCTAGACATTAAATAGGCCCAAAATGTAAGCACGTACATGGGGCAAGTTCAAGTTCAAACCGGTGCGCAACGTTTTGCTACAGTTTCGACAGCTGTCCTTTTTTACGGCATGTTTCCTGAAAACGGTGTGCAACGGGGTTTGAGATACGTTTTCTCTTGTTTGGTGGGTGTGTCAAAAATGTCAGCCCAATCAGCAGCAACATGTATATAAACCACACGGTATTAAAGAGACAGCTCGCACAATGTAATTAACATCAAAATAAATTCACAAGAGCAAGTATATTGTTTGCACATGTTTATTTACATTAAAGGAAAACTAACTGATCTAATAAGAGCATAAGTATAGATCTGGAACTTCTTTAAGTTTGTCTAAATATAATTTAGTAATTAAACTTTTGGTCCATATCCTTTCCTTAGGAAGGTGTGCTAGACACTGATTAATGTAACATAAAAATACTATACATATATATTTTGCTATTGTATTGTGGAGTGACACTTTTATAAACTTTTCTATATTCCTCTGATTATATAATGGTAAATATTACAATAACATAGCACAACAACAGTGATCAGCAATAATGATAAGCCTACTCACAATAAAAATAATAAGGTCATATAGATCATAACACAGTCTCGGAGGTAAGAAGGGGATTATCCTTCACCTGAAATGTTTGTCTTTTCATCCTGAAATGCGAGGCAAATGTTGGCTCACAATAATTAGGAACCACAGTTTGCACAAATCGCTTCACTCGATTGGGATGTTTTCTTTTATTCTGGACGCCAAGGGCAGTGGCTGTAACATATAGCGGATTTTGCAGTATTAAACACATATTTATACCGATTTCATCAGGCTCCAAAAATTCTTTAAAAAGAACACAAAGAATGGCCTTCTCAGCCGCCATAACTCTTGCGACATCAGAACAGGGTGTTCAACGCACCACCGTTTCCGTTTAAAACACGTTTTGCAGCGTTTTGTCGGGGCTGAACGCAGCACTGTAGCGATAGGATGTCTGAATCATTTCCGCGAATCGTTTCTTTCGAAGAGTTTAATTCAGACCCGATTGAGAGATAGCAAAAACTGCATCAAGTTATTCCTCATAATAATTCCACGGCGTATTACACGCGATAAATTACGTTTCGTTACCAGGCATTTATTGAAATGTAACGTGTCCATGTTCCGTTTCTTGATAAAATTAAGGTTATGTTGAGACTAAATGTAATTAGCATTTATATTAAACAATATTCAAATTAATTTCCATATTTAACGACATGCTATTTAGAAAACTCCTTCTTCTTTAATGAAGTTGTAAACATATTTCCAGTACGTTTTACTCTTGACACTTCTGCGATTCGCTGGAACCGATTCACACCGATCCGTCAACGAATGTTCAACCAGTTCATTGAAAAGCTTCGACTCAAAAGACTCTTAAACGATTCGTACATCGCTATTTTTTTTTTGTTTAAATTTTTTTTTTTTATTGCAAGTACAAACACTTAACTTCAACAATTAATGTAACATTGGATGACATTATGAATACAGAAATTATATAGGAAGACAAAGAATACATAAAAAATAAATAGATAAAACAAAAAAATACAGCGGTAGTAAATCAAAATGATGTACCATTCAGCAGATCATTATACAGTTTCACAAATTTGACACTTTTTTTGGTATTAATATTTTTTAGTGTTATAATTAAGTAGTTAAAGTCACAAAGAAAATTAGGTTACACTTTATTTCGATAGTCCACTTTAGACATTCTATTAACTATAAGTAACTTTGTAACTACATGTCAACTACATGTCAACTAATTCTCATTAATTTGCAACTACATGTCTACTAACTCTCAGAGTAGACTGTTAGGGTAGGTTTAGGGTTAGTAGAATAAGTTGACAAAGAAAGTGTTAGAAGATATTAAGCAGACAGTCTACTAATACTCTACTAACTGCTAGTTGACATGTAGTTGCAAAGTTACTTACTGTTAATAGAATGTCTAAAGTGGAATATCGAAATAAAGTGTTACCGAAAATTATGCAATTTTGGAGATGTTGAAGAAAATGTACATTTATGAACATAATATTTTCCCAATAAAATAAATACATTTCCTATATATTCTATGTTATGTTTACAATGTGAAAAATAACCAAATATATCACACATAGTAACATCAATGTCTACATTAGATTTAGACACGTCAGACCAAAATTCCTTAACAAGGGGGCGTTTGAAAAAAAGATGATCAATAGACTCCATGCTGACATTACAGAAATTACAATTCAGATGAGGATGACCAAATTTGGATGTAATCTCATTAGTGGGTATATATTATGCAAAATCTTTAAATGTTCGTACATCGCTATTTATTGATTTTTTTCCTTCTCTTTTCTTCGTCGCTATTTGAGACACAACCACTGGCCATAGTGATGTCACATCCTCCTCTATATAAACAAAAACACACTCGTTTACTCAAGCTGAAGCTAGCCACACGCTACAGTTCCTCATTGCTCGAATACATAACATTTGTCAGCCCATTTACTGTAGATTTTTTCCCCATGTAAACTGGGAAACATGGCTTGATGTTGAAAGCTAAGCTGCTCTCTCCTGTCGTATTAGGGTGAAAAACGTTCAACATTTAATTTTTTTGAACGTGTCCTCGGTTCGATGTGACTTGGGAGTCGCTGCTAATGTGTTTACGCGTCAAGTAGTATTCAGTTTTATTATTATGAGCTTTTGTGGCACATCAGTGTGGATTGCTAACTAAACCATTAGCCACCCAGTTACAGTATATATCTGAAGTCCCGTCAACAGATACACCAAAAGCCTAGGTAAGTGAAAAAATGTGAGAACGCTAGTTAACCTCGAGTGTGTTGCATATGGATAATATTTGATTTGATATAAGTTACTGAGACTGCGTTATTAGCCGAAGCTAGCTCTGTAGATGTAACGTAAGTAGTGGCAGAAATCTTATAAACGCAACACTTTAGTGTACTTTAAAAAAGTGTTTTTATAGAATATACCTGCGTTCTAACTGCACGTAATGCTTTCGATGTTACTTGCAATTAATGTCATTTTTATTTAAATTTGAATGTCATATATTTAAATGTATTTGTAATTATACATTATTGTGTAATATCTTGACTTATGTAATATTAAATGGCATACTACAGGTAAAAATGTAACTTTAAAGTAACTCGAGTACTTTACGTGTGCTTTAGTATGTCAGTCAACGACATAGTCATGAAAGTATATTCTCTTAAATCACACCTAAGTGGCGTTTTATTTGATTCATATATTACCTGCAAGTACAGCTCTATTTATTTATCTGTTTTGCAGTAACAGTGCACATTAAATACAATTAATCTGACTCCTTTCAGTTTTCCTGGATGATACTGTCTCGATCTATCTAGCTGTAATATGCCTTATATAAACATTTATATGCTTATATCTATAGTGTCTTTTTCTACAAACCCGTATAATCATGACTGCCATGCGAGTGGATGCTAAGGTGGTCATGCTTGGCAAGGAGAGTGTGGGAAAAACCAGTCTGGTGGAAAGATACGTACATGGCCGGTTTCTTGTGGGACCATATCAAAATGTAAGTGTGTGTTACTTAGCATAGCAGCCTCTAGAAGTAATTAGTCCGTTAGAAGTAGGCTAATTGACCATTTTCTGAGATTGTTTGTTCTCATTAAAGATATTTTTGTGTATGATGTAAGTTTGACTGGCTATCGACTATCTCTAATCATGCGCCACATACTATAAACTAGCACTACAGGTAAAGCCACCTTCCACGGATGTCAATGGCTGTTTGTGTGTGTGTATATGTGTTTTGTAATGAATTGTTTTTGTCTCATTAAGACTATAGGGGCTGCGTTTGTTGCGAAAGCCCTCAACGTCAGTGACAAGGTGGTTACTCTGGGAATATGGGTAAGTGTAGTTACTTGGGACTTTATATATGCTGATCAACCACTCATTAGTGACTTCACGTGTTTCCTTTGATCTTAGGACACTGCTGGGTCTGAACGCTATGAAGCTATGAGCAGAATCTATTACAGAGGAGCGCGTGCTGCCATTGTCTGCTACGGTATATCCCTCTGTTGCAGTTTGACAGGAAGTGGGGTTTTTTTTGTCGGAAAGAAATCCAAAGCGCAGCATGTACCAGCTCGGTCTAGCAGTCAGGTGACACTGAGCAAGGAAATAGCTCATGCTTGCTCACTCTGTGTATAAATCACAGTAGTTACAAGTCCTGCTAGGCAGTTCATGTGTTTGATTAAAATAAGTTAATCCGGGGTCCATGTAAAAATTAAAGTGGCCAAACAAAAATTTTTATTTTGTTATAATATCATACTTAATATTTTTCTTATACACTGTAAATGTGTGTGTGTTTTTTTAACACTACCATTCAACAGTTTGAGTATAATAAAAGCATGAATAAAAGGATTCATTTCTTAAAAAACTCCAAACTTTTGAACATGGAAAAAAAATCAGCTCTTCCACAAGTGAAAAAGTTTGAAAACATCAAATTTTCATTCTAAATTTGTGTCTGTTTTTCACAATCACACTTAGACTTGACTGACAGCAGCAGTTTTGGAAGGGCCAGGTTCTGGGTGAAGGAGTTACAGAACTGTGAAGAGGTAAAATAAACCCACGTCTCACAAAAACATGAGAACAACTTCAGCACAACTTTATGGACACATTCTTTTATTTTCAGCACTGCAAGATATATTTGTGTGGCACCAAGAGTGACCTCATTGAGGCCGATCGAAGTGTGCGGCAAGTAGACTACCATGATGTTCAAGACTTTGCAGATGGTAAGCGTGAATTTAGCTGCTTTTGTTTTCTACAAAGCATTGCAACAAAACAACATTAACTTTGAACATTTACAGAAATAGGTGCACAACATTTCGAGACCTCCAGCAAAACAGGAAAAAATGTTGGTAAGTGATGCTTCAGTTTATCTGCTCTATTGAGCACTGTTTTTGTGTAACGTGCAATTAGATACAGAGATGTTTCAATTCTTTATTTGTTTTTTCATACAGATGAGGTGTTTCAGAAAGTGGCTGAAGATTTCAGTAGCTGTGCTTTAGAGTTCATGCAAGGTGAGAATTTGCTGCAAAGTGAAACACTTATCTTACACTTTACACCTGGGTCTGTGTGTTTCAGGAACGAGGCTTTTCAGGCCCTGTAAACAAATGTAGCACTCACTCTCTCAGTTACTTGTTGCTTCGCATAAGCATGAAAAGCACAAATGTTTGGCATTACAATGACAATAGATGAAGCAAACTGCTTGCAAGAACCATCTTTGTGAGGAAACAAAGGTGCACCCTTTAGCATTAGCAGCCAACAACCAATTTCTTGACCTAAACTATGCAGGCTTAATAGTGCCTAAAGCTGCGTTCACACTAGCAGCGACTTTGTCTTGGCGTTGAGATTGCTAGTGGGCGTTCTCACTACTGGTTGCCTTGACAGCGAATCAGGTTTCTTGCCGCTAAATGCAAAAGACTAAATATAATTCAAATATATATATACAAATTTTTTTTCCCATTGCGTATGTTTATCTACGACTGAGTGGAGAATGATCACATGAGCTCTGCCGTCTTCTTTCCTATTGGCTGTCGCTTCCGAAAGTCGCTCTTCATTTGCATAAAGTTGGGGGATTCTGAACTTTGTCACGTCGCTGGACACGCCCCATCCGTCGCCAACGGCCGCTGTCGCGCTTGTCGCCGGAAATCGCCAGCTCTCCATTGAAATGAATGGAATCGTGTTGGTTTGTCGCTTGTAGTGTGAACGGGGCTTAATAGTTATTTCATAACCGATTTCTGTCCAAAAACAGATGCACACATGTTCATGTGTATTTTTTGTTTTACAGTATTAATAGGAAATCATAGTATCTGCTCTTTTTGCTTTGATCAATAATGGTAAAGAGTATTTATTCATTTCTAAATCTTATTTTGTTTATTGTCCACCTAATTTTTAATTTAAGGGCATATGCAGCCAATTGTAACATGAATGGGCAAGGCTTCTGGTGTCATCTGCTGTCAGTTATTTTACTTGTATCACAATTATGTTATGCTGATTTATAATGTAAACTGGTATTTGTTGTCGTGTTATTTTAATATATTGTTTTACTCGTAAACCCACTGGTTTGCAGCGCAAATAGTTCTACTGTTCGCTGCACTTTCTTCTTCTTTTTATTTCCCTATAGCTGCTAATATATCAGAAGTCTCACACATTCAAAGACAATAGCTTACTTCTGCGTTGCAAAATACAGTGGATAGAAATATTAAGATGATGCATCGAATTCTGAATGCATTTAATAATATTAGAAATAGAATTGATACAATAATGTGATATTGTTCCTATTTGGATTTATTTCTCTGTTTATTTTGGTATTGTATCCTCACAGAAGAGAAGGGGGTGGATCTTGGGCAAAAGAAGGACTCTTATTTTGACAACTGCTGCCATAACTGACCTATCACAGGAAAAACTGCTGTATCATATGGTCTATTTTGGGATGACTGGAGGCTCACCATCTTTTATACTCCTCAAAGCATCAGCTGGAGTTTTTTTTTTGCTCTTTCCTTATTTCTTTTATGATTTTTCTTTTCTGGTGTGCAGTAGAACATGAAGGATTCCACTTTTTCCAGTGTTCAAGCAATGAACTCTCTTTCTTTATCAGGAACATGGTTTTTTTTTTTGGACCTGAGAATGTTGACTGAAACAAATATTAACAGTGCATGGCAATCCGTTTTACCAAAAAGACAAGACGCAAAGCAAGCTTTAGGGACAGATTTCATTGCATGGAGGTGATCGTTGCCAATTTTCACAAACAATGCCTTGAGCGATTTATCACCTTTTATGATTTAAAGTGTCTCCATTTTATAGAACTTTTGAGGATCGTAATGTTTACACCCTTCATTTATCACACTGCACTCGTGTATGAACAATTTAGTTTCATATGTCCACACTGAAGTTTCAGTTTTCACAGATCTGAGACCAGTTCAAACATTTTTCTCATAATGATAAAGATTTAGATGTTGATAAGAGTGGAAAATTACATAGTAAAAGTAAAAAGCAGTTTCCAATTAATATGTTCGTAAATTGTAATGAAGCTGAACAATTGATGTCAAAGGCTGATAACCATAGTTATTTGAGGCATTTATAATATCATGATTAATCTGACATGCGGGAGTATCAACTCAGCAACAACAACAACAAAAAACTCAACTCGTGTTTGATAATGGAGCCCATAGCTTCCTGTATCATGTTGTCCATTATTTGCATATCTTTACCATGTTCCAAAAGCAAGTCAATGTGCAGCATTTGATGAATGTGATGCTAATGTTTACAATGTTATTTTTATTATTATTTAATTTTACTTCAATGCAATTTGGGTAAGGTATTGTAAACTGGGACACTAACTTGTCAGTTGTGAAAATGTTTGTGTATACTTTGTACATACAGACTTAGTTCACTCTCGGTTCATATTGTGCCTGTATTAAATACTGCTCAACACAAGGCCTGTAGCTAAAAATATGCTTCTTGTGAAACTTTGTGTATTTTACGTCATTCCAGAGAGATCTTGATATTGTGCCATTTTCACTGGTTGTCCTACAGGAAAGAAAGACAATGTTATATTACTCTGTTACATTTTACTGTGAAATTACATTAAAAAAAACAACAACATAAGGATGTAATTTTAAACAGCTGTTGCATATTTTGTTTAAAGGTATCAAAATAGTATAAGCAAAGCAGACCACGTCATTTAAGACTGAAATGAAATATCAAGCGTGTGTGCAGCATGCTTGTTAATACTGAGGAGTAATAACCTAAATGCGTGGATTTTTTTCTACATATCATATTCATCCTTTGCTGCCTATTCTTGCTTGCCCTCACATATCAAAGTTAGTGTTTCTTTTCTTTTTGTTTTACATTTATTTTTAAGAGAGCAAGGTACTCTCTCACCAAAATAATATTAAAATTTAGTGTACCACATCAGAGGACTAGAATTAATTAATTATGAATATTTTGAATTTATCTTGAACATAAATAAATATAATGAAAACATGAATCAAATCTTTAGCCTAGATTGCATAGAAATTAAAGTGAAATTGTTGAATGAAACTGCACTTTCAGGATCTTTTGCACAAAGAAAATTTAATTAGTTGCAAGATTTTTGCATTAATTTCATGACAATTGTCCCAAATTCTCCACAAAATTCTCATTACTGTAATGCAGAAATAAAATGATCCTGTCTGGATACAACAATTATTATTTAAGCTTTTATTGTCAGCATATATACAATTAATACTACCATTATGTATACTTACAGTTTACGATATCAATATAATTGTTTTGTGTTACAGTAATGACAAGACAATTGCTTGTGGAAATGTGCCGAATTGTCATGCAATTAATGTTGCAATTCAAAACACTCGAATTATCCTGAAAATAGACTTCATTTTCTTTGTACAAAATATAATTTGCTTTTATTTTGGGGTGAAATATCACCCAAACATGTGTTGACTGTTTTTGTGAGATTTACAGTTCAACAGTTCTACTCACATTTCATTAATGCAATAAATCTATTTGAAAAGTACCATTTTGATCGCACTATTTACAGAGGTGGTAAAAACAGCAGCAAAGAGGCAACAAGTGTGCACTGTTCTTTATTCTGTACAAAGCACTACAGCACAATTAAAGTCTCAAACAAGGCAACAGATTTTTTTCCCCTTTTGCCAGAAATTTGTCTGAAATATACTGAAGTGGAATGACTTTTAGAACAGCGTTAAAACTATTAAGTGCAATTATATACATAAATACAGTTTAAGAAAAAAATGTAAATGCTGTTCATTATGAAGAACACTTGATCAGTTAGATGGGGGTGAGGAAAACTTCAGGAGTGTAGACATGCAACAAACCACAATCATTTGTCCTATACATTTAGCTTCACAGAAGACTTTTAGGGCTTTAGTTGCCAATTAGTGTTTTACACTATATGGTTACAGTTCAAATTGTATGTTGAACATTTTTTAAGATATCAGCCTTTATGGAAAATTTAACATGAATTCACTAAATGCCAAAGACTTGACTGGGAGTGTTTAATTATCAGGCTTGGAAAGCCTGTCATCTTCTTCCATATAGATTTAATGTATAAAAAATATATACAGCAAGATAGAACAGACTCATCTGACTAGTTCAGTTAAGAGACCTAGTACATAGTTGCACTTTCTCAATGACTAGAGTAAGTTGGGACAGGACTTCCTGTTTTTTTTTATTTTTTATTTTTTTAAAGTTTTGTAACTGCTGGATGCCACAATTGTTTAAAAAAAAAACACACAGTTCACCTTTAAATTCACAGCATAATTTACACCAAAGAATTTTGGGAATATCTGTCTCTACAGTGGATATGATCAATCTTCCTTTGTAGACTGCATCAAGTTCTTCTGGATTTTGTGCCAGTTTGGCAAAGATTAATTCAAAGAGACAATTCTGGGAATTTCCTAAATGATCTCAAATAAATTATGAGCACGCTTGTAAATATTCTGCTTTTGTCTTAACATGTTAGCAGGCAAATTTTGGATTATTATACAAAAGTGCTTCAAAATGATAGTCTTCAAGTTATTTAAACAGTTGGCTAGGATATTTGAATCTTATTCATTACGATCACAATCTACTGCACTCTCAAGTCTGAAGCAAACTTCAGTTTTGACACAAATGCTTAGCGTACAGCCACAGCCTTTCAAAATGAACTTCATTTGATAGCGTACATGAACACGTGTGCACTAGAATTTTTCATTTTTGTCTAACGTCTGTACTATTTCTCTCTAGAAACGATAAAAACTCTTTGTATTATTTTAAATGAGGGTTGTGTGTCTCTTTAATCCGCTGAAGTCTCCTATGCTTCTTTTTTGAAACAATGGTTTAGCCCAATGTTGCCACCAAATAATTAGTAATGTGCAAGTTACAAAAACTGGTCTGCACATGTACAGTGCATGCGTACTGTGCAGATGATGAAATTACGTGATATGCACTGTATGCATATAGTCTTCGCGTAAAGGATACTTTGGGCTTTAGTAAATTGCCTGGCCAAAAAAAGTCGCTGTCTGGATTTAAATAAGCAAATAATTAAGATTTTAGTAGGGATGGGCGATACCACTTATTTTGTTTTCGATACCAAACCGATATTTTTCAAGGCAGTATCGTCGATACCGATACGATTCTTCTGAACTAAACTTTTAAATTATGAAATTTATTAAATTACTAAGAGTAAAATGGGTAATGATAACCACTTAACTTTGTTTAAAACGCATTTTAACATTCGAAACGCCTTAATTGTAACTTGTTAGGTTATATTTTTGTTTACACATGGTTCAAATATGTTTTTTGTTTACACATGATTCGAATCTACAAATAATACAGTTGAACTATAGTAAAACCACTCAGTCACTTTAGTAAAACCATGGTTCATTTTCATAAGGGACTGCCAGTGACAGGCTGTTGCACGCATAAAATGCAACCTTTTTTTTGACAGTGTATGATTTATATTAACATTACAGAATAGAACATGATCAATATTATCTTTCAACGTTCAATTTCAATAAAAGTAATTGCACAAACTATGTAGGCTAATTTCAATTAGTTTATTGTGAAATAACTCAAACATATATGTTTTTTTTCTTCTGTCCTCTGATAAGCATTGTTCAGGGCTGCCGTTCCCAAAAGCTTTAATGCTTTCTTATGATACTTTTGGGAAACGAAGCCCATGTTTGAATGCACCGTCAGCAGTGAGTGAACGCTCTCTGTGATGGATTGGTTCTGTCTTGTAACATTTGCATGTGTTCAGATGAGCAGGAAAATAGTTCTATCCTACACAATTATTTACTAACATAGGTTATTCGTCCAATTCAATGCATTATTTTTTTGTTAAATAAACAAAATCACTGGTAAATAAAACACACCTTAGTATCGATATTTATTGTTTGAGTATCGATACTTTGATACTCATACTTCGGATCGATACGCCCATCCCTAGATTTTAGGATTCAATTATTATTTCAATGATTAATATGTTTCTGACATGTTATATGTTTGGCAAAAATTCTTACAAACAGGACTCTGTGGTGGCCAAACTTTCACAATTTGGACCTTGACATTGTCATTCAGGAACATGGACGTGTACGTCTTTTGACTTGGTTGTTTAAGAAATAAAAAGCTGTGCAGTGCATCAGTTAGGGTTTAAAGAACTGTTGCCAAACCTACAACATGCCAGAAACATATTAAAAACAGCAATAATTACCCAATCATAGGCTCTTCAGTATTCCGTAACACTTTTTTTTGACGAAGAAGTGTATATGAACCACTTACTCAATAGTAAAATTTCCCCTAAGCTTATATTCTGTACCATTTGCTCACAGAGCAAATATACAGCACAAATCCAGTTTTGGTAAATGAGTTTATAGTCATTATTATTTGACTTGAAGAAGGCAATGGAATTTCCAAGGAAAAATATATTCCCTTCCCTAAATACTGTCTCTTCATTGTTGCGATGTTCAACATATTTCATATTCCCAGATGTAGCAAGAAAAAACTTAACATTGGCTACAATCTGATAAAGTCAGTTCTATTTAATCAGTGTTTGAAACCATTTTCCCGAAAAACATTGCCATCTTCGTCTATCTGTGTCCTCTTCGTCAAAGGGATTACTGACAGGGATGCAAACTGTTTTGTGTACCATCTTCATGTATGCTGTAGTGAAAATTTGATGTACATCAGATAGCCTCAGAGCATGGCTATAAAGAGGTCTGTTGGGAAATGTAAACCTCGGGTCAGTTTGCTTCAATAGATTAAACCTTTATACTTCGGTTTTCTTCTTTATCCTCAATCGTTCCGAATTATCTTGAGTTACGCTCTTCTCACCATCCCCTTCTAATTGTATCAAACTTTCTTCCTCTTCTGCGTCGTCTTCTCCATAGGAAGAAATTGGTGAATATGCACAGTTTAAAGAGATGTCAATTGGTGGAGGGCTTCTGGAGGGGCTAAAGGACACCTGAGGGACTGCATCAGGGAGAGAGGAAGCCTGCGGGACAGCCGTAGTGTTTAGGGTTGTGGATTTGGTTTTGGCAGATCTGATGAAGTTTATAGGGTAGGTTGTCTTGAGTTCCGGGGGGTATTCCCGGATCTCGCCAGGCTCCAGGGGCTCGGGGCCGCAGGGGTCATGCTCGCTGCATGACAAGCGGCCATCCAGTTTGGATATAAAAAGCATGCCATCTCGATGTTCGACACAATAGGAGCTAGGGCACATCTCACAGAAGGAAGCTGCTTCCTGTCCACACAAGTCACACTGATGCCAAGGACACTCCCAACGGCCTAAAAACGCAAAACAAGTTATTCACTGATAATCTTCCCCTCCAGTGATCTGTTAATTGATGTTGAGCATCATTTTGTCTTCATTTACAGAAAATATTAACTTAAATTTTATCTGTCCTATGAACACATATCGCACGATCATGTATGAACTTCATTTATTATATCACTATTGACTTTATGGTCAGTGAGTGATCCGTGTTTGAGACTATTCCAAGACTGACCTGCAGGTCTCTTTGTGAGATTGAGGCAGTCAGCGTGGTAAACCTTAGGACAGCCCGGCCTCTTACAGGACACAACTTGTCCTCCATCTCCACAGCTAAAGCACTCATCTTCCCGCTCCTTGATAACTTGCTGCTGGGATTTACGCTTCATCTGAGACTTCTTCTTCATCTTACGGCTTTTATCATCTGATGGGGGGTTGTTCTGATAGACACAGAGTTGATGTCTATTCACAATCACTTATCGAAGCAGAAACTATTCTTTAGATACAAAAACGTTGCTGTGAAAAATTACATTACATTAGAGTATATGAAATAGAAATTATAGATATTTTTTGCTATAGTGTCCTATAAAGGTTAAATGTTTTATTTTATTTTATATTTTTATTTATTTTTTGCTATAGACAGATTATTGGTTCCCCCTGTGTTTTTTTCTTTTATTAATAATGATAATAATAATGATTAGTGCTGTCAAACGATTAATCGCATCCAAAATAAAAGTTTTTGTTTACATAATATATGTACGTGTGCTCCGTTTATTTATTATGTATACACTGTGGAGACGTGCTGAAATCGCGTTTGGTCTCGTACTGCATCGTGTACCTTGTCAGTGTCGTGCGCTTTGCTTGGCCATTTGTTGTGATAAACAGGAAAGTGTGTCCAGCTGAATTCAATTTGAGTTTTGTTAGACGAATAAAAAAGAAGCTTAGTTTACCGCAGAAGCGGTCGCGGCCATCGACTCTACCGTGCGACTCCACCAGGCAGGGACACCGGCAAAGGATAAATATCGCTTTTTATTTCTCCTCTTTCCTACTACTTGTTTCACTTCTGTTTCAGTTTTTTATAACCATTTCTTACTATGTGT